TTAATTTCACTCATGTGCTGCTACGCAGCACATGGAGTGACATTAATTCTGACAAAAAAAACAATTTGCTGTTATTTGTCGTACGTATGTCCAATAATGTACACTTATTTTAATTCTGCGCAAGGATTTTGTCTATTTTTTAGCATTTAAAGGTTCTTTATGAAAATTTTAACAGTGGTTAAAAATAAAGATATAATTTAAAGTTCGCCTATTTTTTCACGATTTGTATGATCTTCAATAATGTGACGCGACCTATATTTGTGTCAATTTTGTTGACTGTTTTAATATATAAATCGTGAAAAATAGGTAAACTTTAAGGCTTTGATTAATTATAACTTTATTTTTAACCACCATTAAAATTTTACATGAAGAACCTTTAAACGCTAAAGAATAGACAAAATCCTTGCGCAGAATTAAAATAACAATTTTTTACCACTAAACAATAGCTGGGAAGTATATTTGACGCAAATTTTCATATGAAATTTTATATGCTACAAAAATTTACATGTGATATAGAGATTAAAATTATTAACCCTAGGTGCATTACATAATTGTTTACTAATTTCCGGTCGGAATTTACTTTTTGATTTTTTCATTACAAAAATAGAAAATTTTTTTAAAAAATAAGCCCGCATTATAATAAAATTGGCCCAGGAACAATTTTCACTTAATAGGCGCTGTGATTTTATTAGTAAAATTATAAGTAATTCTGGCCTAATTTTTTGATCGTTGCTCTTAGCCAATCAAAATTGAGGATCCGCCGCGCATTTTTTATGTAGCACCTATAAAATTATAAAATTTCTTCTCAGGATAACCGACCCATATTACAAACTCAAAACCGGGTAACAACCTGGTTTATCTCAAATAACCCGAGTAACCCAGTTAACCCGGTTGACCCAATTATAACGATAAAATTGGTCAGATATGCCGATTTTTTTTTTGTTTGGATAATGTAAAAAATAGGATTTTAACCGCATAAAAATCAAATTTTATAATTCGGGCCACATTGAATTATTGGCCAAAATTTCGCCATTCCAAAGGCTCAAAATTTTGAATTATATAAACTCAGCCAATCCAGATTAATAGAAATTACTTGACAACGTGGCCAAACCATTAATAGCTGTGCTGAAATTTTTGTTATCCGGGTTAACCGGTTAGCAAAATTGCTATCAGGGACCCATAAAATTTTAGATATAAAATTTTTATAAAAAATTTAAAATTTAAAGTATCACCTCAAAATTTCGAAAATTTTTAAATGAAATTTATTTCTAAAATTAAGATTTGATATGCTTAGGGTGTTGACAAATATTACGTAATATTTTTTTACTATACCCTCTACCCCCCTCCCCCCCACGTAAGAGAATTTTGGTTGGCTAGTTTATAAATTTATTATAACATAAGATATCCAAGAACCCTCCTCCCCCCTCAGGATATTACGTAATATTTGTCACTACCCTTAGGCCACGCAAAGTTAATTTTTTGTTTTGCATAGCCTGCTGTCCCAATTTTTCAAAAAAATTCTTTTTTTTATTTTTTTTAAGTTCCAATTGGATCTTCTATAGTATATGTGGGCAAATATTATAAAATTATAATCTATAAAAACCTATTTTGATTAATTTAAACTCTAATCCTCACAAAATAACCAATTTTTTATATATAATGCTGTATTATAATTTTATACTGTTGCGGTGCTGCATGATACCCATGTGACTAGTGATCGGGTACTGTTGATCGTATGTTTAATGCGTAATCCATATCGGGTGATCACAATTTAATTAAATGTCTAAAATAATGATTTGAGTAAAGCATCAGTGATACTCGATCCAAATGGGGAGATACCAAAAGTTCTTTGACCGGTAATCACCTTGAGTTTCTCTTAGTGAATAAACTGTTATCTCGGTGAATACATTATCGGTGGTAGTATTAGCCAAGCGAGTAAAGACTGATAGTAAAAGTCAACGAATACATGGTAGATACCTAATTTTATATTATAATAATATTCTTAAAAACAATTGGCAAAATTTAAATACTGAATTATAACAAAACAAAACAATAATTTATTAAATTTAAACTAAATTTTGTCTAAATTTTTTAAAATTTTACGGGTCACTGGCTTATACGGATATACATTAGTTTCGAAAGTATTTAGGCACCAATTTTTTGGCAAAATTAAAGCCGCAAGTCATAATTTATACCACAATCCGACGAAATCCAAAACATATGTCATAATCTAAATTAATTGCCGCAATTTGTTTTATAATAATAATTTATAAAATTGAATTATTTCAGTATTTAAATAAAATATTATACTTTATACTTTCGGCATTATATTAATTATATAATACTTACTTTATTACTTTGAAATTAATTATGACTTTAGGCATTGGCGGCATGAATTTTAGATTTAGGCATTGCCGCATGTCAAAATTAATGCCGCAATAATGTCACCTCTAATGTGACATACTGTATCATGTAAACAAAAAAACATGTAAATTTAGTTTATAAAAAGGCACGTTAAATATAACTTTCTTCTTCAAAATATTCGATAAAAAATACAAGGCAAGTGAAAAAACCGCGCATGAAATATATCAGGCTCTTTAATAAGTTTTTGATTTTGATTTTTAATATTAGTGTTTTCATTTCTTAACCTTCCTTATTATCATTATTAGCATTATGGGATCCAAGATACATTGAATTGAAACTAAGCATAAAAAGGGTTTTGGGATCTACAAGAGCTTCGGGGTGGAGTTTGCGGCGAGCTAGACAATATGTATCAAGCAATATCGACATTACGACATATAGTAATGAAGAGTTTCTGGATGTGTTTATACAAGAATTAAAGGTGAAAGATGACGATCGTAATTTACTTATATATACACAAAGGACAAGGCACTTAGCCTTTATCAAAGTTTAATTGATAGTGAGGAGGTCAGTTAAGTTATACATGTTTTAACATTTTCCGTTAAGTTTTATAAACTTAATATATATGCTATATTATAGGAAGTAACAACAGCAGATGAAGATCATAATCACGAAACTGATGACGGGGATTATAATGAAACTAATGACGGAAGGTTGTATTTTGGACAAAGATATAAGTATTATTTATTTCCTGGGGAGTAGAAATTATAACAGAGGTTACCGATGATCATCGGCCTCTGTACTCCCCCAGGAAATAAATAAATAATCCCCAGAAGCGTGTCACTAGACGTTAATCGGACTACCATACCATTATTTTTACACGTGTTCCATATTTATATTCGTATTGTGCTTTACTAACTTTTGGG